CTTCCACTCCACCTCACCCAGGCGGGAGAAGTAATTCGATTATTTTCGCCCCTTAAAAAAAAGTGCGACTAGTGGTCGGACTATTACTGGGTTTAAAATAAAAAAAAACTCAGTAGTAGCACGAAGTCTGGAAATGTGCACGGTATGTAGCAATAGGCTCACCCACTATTACATGGGACTCATAACAAAAAATAGTAAAAAGTGGGTGTTACATTGTACAGTGGCATTAAGTGCCGTAATGCGCACCTCTGCCTACCCCTTCGGGGATAAAAGGAAGTTATGTTGTGTTTGTTGTAGTATTTAGAATATTACACCAAAACATAGCCAGCCTACTATCTAAACAAGAACTCCTTGAAATAACTTTAAAGGAGCTACAAAAGGACTTAAATGAACCCGACGTAATATGCCTCTCTGAAACTTTCATCAAAAAAGGCTATGAGTGCTACGTAAAACTTCATAGCTATACCATGGTTGATAGTTTCTGTAGGGATAAGCAAAGAGGTGGAACTTGTATCCTAGTGAAAAACACAATTATGTGCATGAAAATTCCACTTGTTAAAGAACATGCATCACAACATACCTTTGAGGCATGTGGTATAGAGGTGCCACATAATAACCTAATAATAATCTGTATTTATAGAACTCCTCAGTCGGACCCTAGTCAATTCTTGTCAAAACTAAACAACCTTTTAAATTCTTTATTTAAAAAATATAAAACAAAAAAACGTATAGTAATAACTGGAGATTTCAATATCAACACCTTAAAAAAGAATAACATCACATCTGATTTTCAGAACTTATGCAATAACCATTACTTGAAAATACATATCGATGTGCCTACACGCAAGTTATCATGTATTGACCACATCCTGAGCAATGTATTAGGTGCGTCTGCAACAGTTCTGCCATTACATCTATCAGATCATGACACGGCCCAGATACTTAGCTTTCCCATTAAAAACAAATCACAAAAACCTCCAATATACTACATCATCAGAAGAAATTACAGCTCCGCCAACATTCTTAAATTCAAAGAATGTCTAGGAAATCTATCATGGTCTGAAGTATACACTGAAAATGACTCGAATACAGCGTTTAGCAAATTTCATGACTTATTATGTTTATTTCATAAGCTCTGTTTTCCCGAAAACAAAATTAAAGTTAATATGTGCGATAAAGGGAAACAAAAGTGGATAAGTAAGGGATTAAAGCGAAGCTGTAAAATGAAAAGAAAGTTGCGGTTTCAATATTATGAAAACAAAAATACATTGAATAAAAATAAGTATTTAACCTATGCCAAAATTCTACAAAAATGTATATACAATTCTAAAAAAAATACTAATATTAAATATATAAAACAAAATGATAATAAGTGTAAAGCTACTTGGACAATTATTAATAACGAAATTAATAACAACACTATTAAACATAACATAGATAACATAAATATGGAAAGTAAAGTTATTACAAATCCCAAAGAAATAGCAACTACTTTTAACAACCACTACATTAATCTAGGACATGTTACAACAAACAACTACACGTATAACAACAATAAAACATTAATTCCTAACTCAATATTCCTTAAACCAATGTTACCAAATGAAGTTAGACAAGAAATAATGTCTCTAAAAAATACGAACGCGTCCGGATATGATGAGCTGGGTACAAAATTAATAAAATCATGCAAGGATGTGTTAGTTGAAATCCTTACGTATCTGATAAATTTATCATTCTCGCAAGCGATTTTCCCAGCTGCGCTTAAACTATCGACCGTAAAACCATTGTTCAAAAAAGGAGAACGAAACAACATAAATAATTATCGTCCTATAACCCTGATACCTATACTGTCCAAGGTATACGAAAAATGTATGTACAAACGTCTAGTGAATTTCTGTGACAAATACAATATCATTCAAAAAGATCAATATGGATTTCAAAAACAAAAATCTACCACTCTAGCCATTTATAGTACCATAAGCACAATTCTAACAAACTTAAACAATAATTATCTGACCACTGGCTTGTTTTTTGATCTATCAAAAGCCTTTGATCTCGTTTCACATGACATATTGTTAAACAAAATTGAAAAATATGGGATAAGAGGTCCTACTTATCACTGGATAGCTTCATACCTTAGCGACAGACAACAATGTGTAACAATATCAAAAATTGATGAAAATATGATACTTACACCATCAATATCAGAATACAAAAATGTCAGGCGTGGTGTACCGCAAGGTAGCGTGCTGGGGCCTATTTTATTCCTGTTGTACATAAACGATGTCGTAAATATCACCAACCATAAATGTGTTCTTTTTGCTGACGACATATCGATTATAGTTGCAACGCGTAAGAACGGAAACACAACAAATGACCACGCGCTTGATGTTAACAACACAATAGATAAATTAATAGATTGGTTAGATAATAATAAATTAAAAATAAATTTGGACAAGTCAGTTTACATACAATTCAATAAATCAAATACTACAAAACATAACATCAACCTAACGATACCAAAAGTTAAAAGAGTAGGTGAAACAAAATTTCTGGGCTTAATTATAGATGAAAATATGAATTGGAAGGACCACGTTGAACATGTATCTGTTAGGGTAAATAAATTTGTGTATGCACTTAAGCAAATAAAAAATATTACAAACTTAAATACAGCAATAATGGCTTATCATGCACATGTAGAATCATTGCTTCGCTATGGCCTAATAATGTGGGGATATAGCACGGATAGGGATAAGGCATTTCTCGCACAAAAAAAGTGCATAAGGGCTATGTACGGTTTGCAACCTGATCAGTCATGCCAACCAATATTTAAGAGACTTGGTTTGTTACCATTACCGTCGCTTTACATTTATGAAGTATGTATGTTCGTTACAAAAAACAAAGATTTATTTAAAACTGCAAATGATGTCAATCCACGAAATCGTAGAGATCCATTTAGACTTGTACTAAATGACTTTCCTAGATCAGCAAAATATAATAAGAATTGCTTGGCTATGTGTATCCGTATCTATAACAATATACCGAATGATTTGAAATGTCTTAATATAAATCTATTTAAGCGTAAATTGCACAAATGGCTTAATGAACAAAACTACTATTCTATAAGTGATTTCATGCAGAGGAAATTAACCTCACGCCTAGGATGTTAATTTTAGAACTTTTCCTGATTTTGCATGCTATGTAAATATTAGCAAAACATGTTGTACTTCAACCATATTTTTGTAACACCTATTTTATACCATGTTTTATGCAAATAAATATATTATTATTATTATTATTATTTGTGAAAATAGAGGTTCCATATTAAACTCGTGTCTTCTGTCTACAATCTCTGCAAAGTTTTATTAGGTTAGGATTTCAGAGAAATACCAAAATGAGAGCAAGGCTGCCTCTTACAATCCTAATCAGTAACGTCTTGTGTGGTTTCAGTTTCGACATAGATATAAACTTTATAGTTATCATTAATTTAATTTTAATATTCAAATGTGGGTGAACATTTATGTATGTCGAGAATAAGATTGGAATAATAATATTTTCAAGAATAATAGTAGAATGTAGTCTGTGGGAATGGAGGAATTTATTATGGAATTCAATCAATCTTTAGTAGGATTTTTTTTTCTTAAAGGGGGATCATCAGGGGAATCATCGAATGACTGCTCCCGCCAGGGTGAGGCGGGAGGGAGTGTCAGACTCTTACTGACTAAAAGCCACCTCAATCTTTAGTAGGTATGTGGGCTTTAATATTATTAGCCGATTTTAGAACATCCAAGTTAAATGAAGTAATAGCCTACATTACAAATAAAAATTATTGACTTTACCCAGTAAATAACTCGCGTAACTTACGTATATTGAAAAAGGACTGCCTCGTTGGCCGAGTGGTCGCAAGTGCGGCTGCTGGGTAAGGGATCTCGGGTTCAATTCCCGGGTCGGGCAAAGTATTACTAGGTTTTAAAAAAATCTCAGTAGTAGCACGGAGTTTGGAGTTTTGCTCGGTATATATGGCGATAGACTCACCCCATATGACATGGGACTCATAACACAAAATAGTGAAAAGTGGATGTTACATTGTACAGTAGCATTAAGTGCTGTAACGTGCACCTCTGCCTACCTCTACGGGGATAAGAGGCGTGATGTTATGTTATGTGGAAAAAAGTAATAACTGTTGTAAGTATTTACTTTTGGGCAATAACGTCTATACCCATTTATATCTATTAGCTTATTTTTCTTATCTATATCGAGAACCCTGTGTCGTACGTGGCCTAGGTTCAATCACAGGGTACCTAAATCAAAGTATAAATTATTAGCAAAACATGAAGCCAGGATTAGAATTAGAATTTATGTATGACAAGATCTCCGGGCCGGTAACCGGGGCTCCGGCTCGAAGTGCAGGAGAAGGAACGGGGTGGTTTTTAGTCAATAAGAGTCTGTCACTCCCTCCCGCCTCACCCAGGCGGGAGCAGTCATTCGATGATTTTCCCCCCTTAAAAAAAGTGTAATGCTTTGTTCGCCCTGCGCTAGTATTTTAGATGAGTGACGTGTATTTAGTAGCCTTCTCTCGCGTCTGTCACCAAATCAAAGCGAGAGCTACTAAAAACTCCCTACTCGACTACAATACTAGCGCAGTGCGAACAAGGCTTCACAAGCATTTTTCTGAACACTGCATCAAAATCGGTTCACCCAATCTCGAGATAATCGCGCACAAACATCTTATATATTATTATATAAAGTGGAAGAGTTTGTTTGTTTGTTTGTTTGAACGCGCTAATCTCCGAAACTACGGGTCCGATTTGAAAAATTCTTTCTGTGTTGTATAGCCCATTTATCGAGGAAGGCTATAGGCTATAAAACATCACGCTACGATTAATAGGCGCCGAGCAGAGCGAGTGAAACCGCGCGGAAGTAGCTAGTATATTATATAATATGCGGGTCAAAATGAAAACCTCCTTCTTATTTAAGTTAGTTAAAAAAAAGAATCTGACCTGCATCGATTCTGAATACATCACTGTCTCCTTTGTTGGGTTTGTTTGAGTCGCTAACCACCAACTTCGTGGTCTCATACAAAGCCTTGTAAACTGGAAGGAGAAACAAAGTTAATTAATTTTCTTTTTGAAATCTTATACAAATATATCAACAGCCTATAAGTGGCCACTGCTGACCAATGGCCTCTTCTCACACGAAGGTTTGAGCATTAATCAGTTCGCTTGCTCAATGCGAGTTGGGAATGTCAATCTTATAATTAGAAATTATAAGCCCAGGTTTCTTCCCGACGTTTTCCTTCACGTTTTGTCAGTGGTGTCTAAATAATCTTACAAGTACATATTACTCTGAAAGCCACATGATACTTGCTTGACCATAGGAACAGTATTCTGGAAAAACAAACAGAGGCCTTATTACGAGTTTGATTTATGTTTATTCGCAACGAGTAGGTACGCGTTCGGCACTCTGATTGGCGGGCGCCAATATACCAACCAATTAGAGCGCCAAACGAGGTCTCGTTACGAATACTTTAAACGTAAGACAAACTTGTTCTAAGGCCTCTGGTCAATAATAAACCGTAATCGGTACGCCTCACATAAGTTAAAAAACCATTCATAAAATGCACTTCTTAGGCCAACCTTGTAGGTTCCTCTCATATAATCCCTAGTCTTTCTTTCAAAAAAGCTAGGCGCCTTTTGAAGACATCCCCCGTTATAACAAAAGGTCCCCCCATAACTATGTTTTAGAGCTTATCAAACCATAAACAAAATCATACTTGAAAGAATCTGTCATACACGCAAAAATATCAATTGCGTACTCCGTCTACCTGTTTTGCCCTGATCCTCAATTCTCCCATGTTGTCCTTTTTCACAGAAAAACGCAACGTATTCAAGCGTGACTACTCCAAATATTCTATTCACAAAATGACATGTGTTTTGTATACACGGCCACACATCAATCTATACGAAACCAGTTTATCCTGGTGTCGCGTCGCATCATCTTTCCGCACATTTAACGTTCAGTTTATACTGGTTATGTACAGCTCTATGTGTAGCCGTGTGTACATACCTTGTAAACATAATGAACATCGTTGATTCTTTGCCAATGCTGTTTCTTCCTACCAAGACTTTAATAAATCAGTTCCTAAGCACAAGAGGGCGTACCCTGCGGTACTTACCCGATGATAAACGGCAAATAACATAGTGTTTTGACGCTTGTATTCAGTACATAAGTGCTATTTTCCCTTGTCCTGTAATACTATGGTTCAATGGTTCAATGGAGGTTGACAGAGCTTTTGTTGTTTTGTTTACTTGCTTTGTATATTACTGTCTATCTAGGTATTGTGTTTAATTTAGTAGTTGATCTCAATACCGAGATATGTGCTTTAAGGTAGGAATGTTATGACATTAATTCATTTATCATGCATTTGAACGAATAGTCAAAGTTTGTTTGCTGAATAGTTATAAAGCCATCTCTGAACTGGAAGCAGTTTGAAAATAACCTGAATCAAAGATGAATAGTCAGCACGAGGTCGTAATTAGGCCCTTTCGATCAGTGATGCTTTTAAAGAATATAATTTTATAATTAAATAAGTTCTAACCTTTAGGTGATAAAACTTCTGCAATGCGCACGCTGGATTTCCGTTGACTGCGCATTGCTCGCATCGCGCACAGAGATGTCAGCATACCAACGGAATGATCTACAACATAGTACACATACCGTTTCAGATTTAATACTGAAATTGAATTATGTTATTCGGAGACAATGCTGTGCTCCCTACATTAGCAAATTGACTCGATTGAGTGATTTATTCTTTTGTTTAACTTCTAGTTTTCAAGGGAAATGTCCTGTTTCACTGAGTTATTTGTCTCGACGAGCTATTTCTGTTATTACTATGTCTAGAGACTTTGAATTGTGACTTTTTAATGATAAAATTCAATGAAATGCTGACATAACTGCATTACGTGGTTATAGTACTACGACGAAGTAGGTATGATGCAAACGCCTACGGTGTAGGCCCGTTCTTTTTAGAGGGGAATAAATGGCGTCCCCCGCCCGGGTCAGGCGAGAGAGAGTGTTAGACTCTTACTGACTGAAAACCATCTCGGTCCTTCACCAGCACCAAATAAAAGACCCGTTGTTGCTACTGCGGCGTAACAGATACTTGTTGTATTTACACGTTACAGCTTATTAAATTCTATTAATAAATTATTGGTAATAAATTCTAACTACGTCAGGTTTTCTAACAAATAAATTACGTATTTTAAATAATTTCATTCACCGCTGTCGCCTGTCGACTCGATCTGAACTTGGGCGTCGGCGCTTTTTCTGTGTACCGCGCAATGAGGCTGTCCATACACAAACACGCACTCTGTAACATTCATGCAAAGAAGGACATACTAGGATTACAAGTACAATTAGTATTTTCTCCAGTTCCAACAAATAACTTCTGAGTTGTTTTTATAATAACTATCAAAGTCAAAGCATTTATTTCAATTGATCTACATATAATTAGGCACTATTGAAACGTCAAAAAGTTAATTACCTATATCGTGAGACATACTAAATTAACTAAACTCAACTAGTTTCGAACCACAGAGGGGTTCTTCCTCATGAGCAGCGTGCACGGCGACGTCGCGCAGCTTACTGTGAGCTGAGGAAGAACCCCTCTGTGGTTCTAAACTAGTAGAGCTGTTCTCAGTATATTCACTGAGTAGCCCACGATTTTAGTTAATCGTGAGACATATTAAATTAACTAAAAAATATTACGTAATTTTCAGTCAACTTCTATATTATTAAGTATATGTATGTTAATGTGGCTGTAAATTTAGGAATGCTAATATGAACGGACATGAAAGTTGTCATTGTTGAATAATGTTTAGTAATTTAGAGCCTAGATAGTTGAGCAGATTTATATAACAGCAACTACATTATAAAGGTGTTGCCTAAAGTCAAAGATCAAATGGCACCAGGTGATAGGAAAAGTTACAACAGTTATCAGAAAGATATTAAAGAAATTCTTAAATTAAAAAAAAAAAGTATTAAAGAAACTCTTAAGCCTTTAACTCGTCGAGTACCGGTTTTGTAGACACAATTATAGAACAATAGGTTGCGGTCACCGGTGACCGCTTGGTGTTTGACAGTTTAAATTACAATGACTTAAGTGTAATCTACGAAAACATACACCCTGTGCCAGTTTTTGACTCTTGTTGCTACAATTATTTATGTTTTTGTTTGTATTTTTGCTTACTTTATTTTGAATAGTGGCTTCAGTATTATGGAATACTGAAGCACTATCCAGATTAAAGTTCATGAAGTAAATGAATCCATAATTATAAATTCTGGGCCAAATGTTTTATAAACTAAAATAATAGTAAAAAATGGAGCCATAGCCATACTAAGCATTTTAAATTTTAAACTCAAGCGTTGAGGCAAATGTCATCTTAATAAAGTAAATATACTTTACCGTTGTTGGAACCGTGCACGGGAAGCAAGCTCCCAGAACAGGGTGAAGGAGATGGTAGAACACATTGAGTTGTCAGCACACAGGCAGATTTTCGTGTCTGCACCAGTGACTCCGTTCCTACACCCATTAGAATATACATCACTATCATGTAAGCCATAAGAGCGTTTTTAGAGTTCTTTGTGTTTCATTAGGCATGAAAGTACCTAAATATGTTTGATCAAGAAAATTTTTGAGCTGAAGTAACTCAGTACTTACATATGAGCATTTTCCTACAATTTATACCAATGTGTCTACAGAAAATCTATTATTAATTTATCAGATCAATCAGTTTGCGTAATGAAACACTCACAATTCTTAAAACGTCTCAAAAAACTAATAAATTAAATAAAATTATGAAAACATCCCACCTATTTCTTACCCTTCGTAAAGTTTATTGATATCACATATGGTTTACCCTTATAATTACTGTCCAACTTTACTATAATACGGAATTTGGAAGGCCTGGATCGACATGACGAGTCTACGGAGAAATTTTCTAGTATGACTATATGCAGGGAAGAGAAAAAATATTCCAATAAAGGCAACAATGTACCTGCTTCGCAAATATCTGGACAAGCTTGAAGTATAGACTCTTTGACATCTTTGGTTACAAGGATATTTTCATCTAAAATTTGAAAATCATCTTTGATTTTTACTTTGTATTTTGTATTAAGTACTTGATTATCTTTGGAATGTAAGGTACCTGATGTAACTTCATCAATCATTACAGGGTTCACAGTGATATCGGTCTCGTTATTTTTAGTATAGCTTTTATTTTTCAGTCTGCTTATGGGTAGTACGTCCTCTAGACTGTCCTTTGATAAAGTTATTGTTGGGGGTCCTGTAAAATATTCATCAAATGTACACATAAGGCCAGGACTACCCTCTCGCACCAGCGACCCAAAGACAAGGTACACTGCAGTTTTATAATGAGAGTACAAGAACATCTACTTTAGAATAATAACAATGTATTCCAGCCCAGCCAGCATTCGTGTCAACTCGCGTCAGAGTGTGGTGACAGCATATAAACAATGATGATACCTGTGCGCATTATGTCTGCCTTTGACATTGTTAGTGCATCAAGTTAAATAAATAATACTCACCGATTGCAATTTTGTCGTTCTGTACCTCATCTTCGTCAGAAATAGTCATTTTTGGGTACGCTGAAATAAGAAAAAAAAATGTACTGACTTTTCATACTTTTTAATAATGCATCTCATTAGATGCAGATTAAGCATAAATTCAAGTAGTTGAGTATTCTTAAACAACTTGAATATATTCTTAATCTGTCGTGTAATTTGTTAAAAATAAATGTCCATTTTCACACCAATCTCTCTTAAATTTTAAAGAACCACGTCATTTTGGTTTTCAACAACATTATCAGTTAAACTGTCAAACACCAAGCGGTCACCGGTGACCGCAACCTATTGTTCTATAATTGTGTCTACAAAACCGGTACTCGACGAGTTAATTAAGGGGATACCTACTTTAGGTGCTACGTCATGCTAAGAAACGTTTAATTTACAGATGGTATAGGGGTTGGTGACAACAGTTTTTTACCAGGAACTGTCCTTGTTCCAAAAGAAGATATTTCCTAATGATGCTATTGAAGACCAAAAGTTTCATGTGTGGGCAAGTACAGACCATTTCTCATAGAATGACACTCATTCATCCAATTCTCAGCAGTCATGTCACTGCAAAATGGCGTTGAGAATTGCGCGAGTACTGGCGTACTGATTGTAGAACTGTGTTTCTTCTTGCCCATCAATCGGGATAGGGAGGTTATTTGCTTTTTGATATCTATAACATAATATGTATTATTTAGATATGAGTTCATGAACTAATTTGTTGGAAAAAACGCTTTGTGCTACCAGGCTAATCATTTTAATTGGTCTGCTCAGGATTGGTTTCATTAACTAAACTTTATAGTATTTTAACAGTAACTTTATCATATCTATTATCATATAAAACTTAAATGCTACGTATATACCGTTTTCACGTTGAGTCTTTGAAGTAATCGGTTTGTTCAAAGTATTGTAACTTGGTTTGATTGACTGACTGAATTCTACGGACTTCTGACCAGACTGACGCGTGCTCAAATTGGCTGCTAAATAAAAAGAAAATAATTCTTAGTCCAAAATTATCTAGAATAGCTCAATTCGGAAGCTCAATAATCGCATAAATGTTACAGAACATTTGCCACGGTGTAGGACATACCAGATACAACACCGCAGCAAATAAACAAAGCGCTACGTCATATAAAACGATCCATTGTTAAAATTTTGTTAACAATTTAGTAATTGTATGATTTTTTTAATAATTTGTCTTGTGTGCTTACTTGGGTTTGTGTCAGTGTCAGTTTGATTATCGGAGCTCATATGTGAGGAAATGGACGCAGGTTTTTCTGTGGACGCAGGTTTTTCTATGGACGCAGGTTTTTCTGTGAACGAGCCCATATGTGACGAGATGGACGCAGGTTTTTCTGTGGACGCAGGTTTTTCTGTGCACGAGCTCATATGTGAGATGATGGACGTAGGTTTTTCTATATACGCAGGTTTTTCTGTGGACGAGCTCATATGTGAGATGATGGACGCAGGTTTTTCTATATACGCTGGTTTTTCTGTGGACGAGCTCATATGTGAGATGATGGACGCAAGTTTTTCTATAAACGCAGGTTTTTCTGTGGACGAGCCCATATGTGAAAAGATGGATGCAGGTTTTTCTGTGGGCGCAGGTTTTTCTGTGGACGAGCTCATATGTGAGAAGATGGACGCAGGTTTTTCTAAATACGCAGGTTTTTCTGTGGACGAGCTCATATGTGAGCAGATGGACGCAGGTTTTTTTATGGACGCAGGTTTTTCTGTAAACGCAGGTTTTTCTATGGACGTAGGTTTTTTTATGGATGCAGGTATTTCTATGGACGCAGGTTTTTCTATGGACGCAGGTTTTTCTATGGACGCAGGTTTTCCTATGGACGCAGGTTTTTCTGTGGACGAGCTTATATGCGAGGAGATGGACGCAGGTTTTTCTGTAGACGTAGGTTTTTCTATGAACGCAAGTTTTTCTGTGGACGCAAGTTTTTCCAAGGACGTAGGGTTTTCTGTGGGTAGTACAAAAATGTATACAAACGGTTTTCTCTACAATAAGTCTTATTAAATAAATTTTGAATATTTTTATAAGAAGTCGAAAGGCTTACCAATACTGGACTTTAAATGTGAGCTCGCCTGCTTGAATGAAGGTTTTTCTGGTGAAAAATGAAAAGTAAATGAAATGTTTTTCTTAATGCTAACCAGCCAGTAAAATTATTATTATGAAATTTTCATATAAAGTTTTTGTAAAATGTGCATACCAATGTTAGATATGGTTTTCACTTTGAAAACGGATACTGCTGGTACTTGTATAGATTGAGCTTGGCCACAGTATGACGTCATGATTGAGGCGGATTTGTTTGGACCCGGTCCTGTGGACAAATGAATGTTAATGTTGTCTATACATATTATTCGACTTTACTGTACAAAAAACATCTCAACTAAGAAGTTTTGCCAAGGTCCTGTACGTATTTCTGTCTAAGGGAGATAATATGTATACTCGGAATTTTAATTCGATTCCAGATTTGACAATTTCAGGGTTGCAGCGTTATGACAAGTACTAAATAGTGACGTTGCGAAATTATTCGATATGGAAATGCAATATTTCTGGATCGATTCTTCTCGTTTATAATTGTACTCTCGTAAACTAAGTATATCAGGAAAGTAAATATTTCTGAACCAACAATTTTGTTTTGACGATTAATTAACGTCTGAGACTTTTCTTTTATAATTGTGTGTGAAATAAATAAGAAAATGTAATCATGAAGGAACATGACAAATAAAACAGATAGATGTATTATGGTAACAAGTTATTTTATGAATTGTCGCCGTCATCGCTATCGCTATCCTGTCACTTTCTGTAACATTTATTATAAAACACACACACTGATTGTTTATCGATTTTTGTGTTCATCACTACACTATTAAATGTGGTATCATTATTTCACAAAATGACAGTAGCTATTGTCAAATCTGGAATCTAATTAAAATTCTGACTATAGTGTAAATTATTAAAGAATAAAAATAAATATCAGTCCATGGTACTTTTTATATTAGCAAAAAGTACTATATAATAATATTATTGCTTGTTTTTACAGAAAACAAATATTACGGGTTGTTTAATCACAGCTAGTAAAACAGCTTTTCAAGCAAGCTTTTCAAACCCAATAAATCTTTATAAAAATGTGTAAAGCGATAAAAAATAAATGTCACATAAGCGTGTCATTTCCCATATAAGCGTAATGCTTCTACACCATTACACTCAATTGTAAAGGGCTTTCGGAATAAATGCTGTGAAAAATCACCTAACACCCCCCCTCTTGCAGAGTGAGGCATGAAAAATGTATGCCGTGGTGACATTTCGTATGCGTTTATGTTTATTTAAGAAATATTGTATTGTAAGTATTGCCTGCATGCACAAAATCGGAATGTCTTGGATAATTTATTTCTATGTTATTCCTTTTTTTTTAAACGTTGCCTCACATTAGCATTTTCTCCTGTGTCGTGAGCGCATTTACAAACATACAAGTTCACATACACGACACCCAAACCAGAAACAACATTTGTGGATGACTTAAAGTGTTGTTCTGTGCGGCAATAGAACCCGCAAAACGTTGCACGGCAGCCCGTTGCCCAGCCACCGCACCAACCGTTGGAAAAAATAAGTAATTTGTTAAAAGAAATGTTAATAATTAACGAAATCAATATAAAACGTATCGAATTAGATAAATTAAAATAAAATAAAAAAATAAATTATGAATTAGTCAACAAATGTCATTTCGATAATGTTTGTTTGTAACGACACAAAATCGATTAACGACGTCATATTAATTAAAAGTGTACAAAGTCTTCCAAAATATCCCTAATTTTTTGTTTGAGACTTTCACAAACAATATTTTGTTTTACAACGCCAAGGTCATATTTAAAACATCTCGATTTTGATGTTACATAACTTTCTTACATAAATCGTAATTTTACGAGTTGGTTAGGAAACCAGGGTTGTCATAAAATGAGTGAAGTGTTTATACTTTTATACTCGCCATCAAATTCAGTTTGTGTTGGTAAATCGCTGGCCTTTTGGTTCACTGTGCACATTGGTTCCTGATTTTGCCATTCACTGGTTAAACCTGAAAGGAATAATGGTAGATAAAAGAAAAATAAATGAATTTACTATGCTACTAGTCTTCTGCGTCGTATTCTAAATTGATATGGAAAAATCAACTAAACTGCAATGTGGCTTAGAAAGAGAAGTGGTTTTCAGATAGGATTTACTTCTCAGTTGTGATGTACTTAAAACTTCTGCATACTCGTAAACCATCAACATCTACAGAAAATTTACTACAGAAAACTGTCTGGAGCAGAAGAATAAATTATATTAAGGGGAGTTAGATCTAAAACTTGCAGCCATTAAAAACTTATTGTATAGTATACATACACAGTCACACAACCTATCCTAGCTAAAGTAAGATGACGAAACAAAATATGGGGTCAACGTAATACTGAAGGCTTGATAATAGCGGTTAAGGTCCGCCATTATATTGATTGAATGTCATTGAGTACGAAGGAGCACAATAAATCATGTCTGCTCGATCTATCAACGTATTTTGTGCCCAATATATTGACCATAAGTATACAAATAGAAACAGAAGCCTATTTTCCGATCACTTCATCGCATTGCGTTTTTATTAAAGTTTTGGTGTAGCGATGTGGTTAATACTAGTGATCTTAATACATTGTAGATAGGTTTTTTTTTAAGGGGGGAAAATCATCGACTTACTGCTCCCGCCTGGATGTAATAAAATATTTAATTCCTTACATTTTTTTATCGAATAGGAAGCAAACGAGCAGATTGATCATCGGTAAGCGATCAGCACCGCTCATGGACACTCGGAACATCAGAAAATACATAATATTACGCAATATTAACTTTGCTCCTAATAAGCAACTTTGTTACCATCATTCGCACCCATACATCATTCTGAATGTTTGCAAAAACCCGTAAACTAAGAATGATATGTCCGGGGAAAGTAATTACACTGTCATTGATCAATTATTCCCGATGGGAGTATTCTGACCTTTGTCCTTCCAAAGGTCAGGATCGCAGAGTTATAGCCGGGTATGAACAAGAGTGTTTGATCGTGGAGTAATGAATAGGCCCGACCCTTATTACATGGGACTCTATATTGTACTGTTAAACTGTCAAACACCAAGCGGTCATCGGTGACCGCAACCTATTGTTCTATAATTGTGTCTACAAAGACGGTACTCAACGAGTTAAATGTGAATAGAAAAATTCGATGTCTGTCGAGTAAGAGGTGAGGTCACATCCAGTATCCAATGATGTCAAATTTGATGTACGGGCTTAAAGTATAATTGTGTTTATGATTTTCATTATCAGTATGGCGTCTGAAAATGTTTGGCGGCCAGCAATAGACTAGACTGTAGGGAACAGAGAGTGAAGTTCCCAAAGATCGGAAAAGGAGGCATCACGCCTGGCGGGCTACTGCCCACAGTTGTCACATCGACTGGGGGCATGAGGTCGCGCGCAACAGTTGATTGTTGAGATTTTCTATCCATGTTTTACATAACATAACATCACGCCTTTTATCCCTGAAGGGGTAGGCAGAGGTGCACATTATGCCACTGTACAATGTAACACCCACTTTTCACTATATTTGTTATGAGTCTCATGTAATAGGGGGTGAGCCTATTGCCATATACCGAGCACAATTCCAGACTTCGTGCTACTACTGAGATTTTTTTTAAAAACGCCAGTAATACTTTGCCCGACCCGGGAATCGAACCCGAGACCCCTTGCCCGGCAGTCGCACTTGTAACCACTCGGCCAACGAGGCAGTCTTTTTTCTATTTTTTTCTATCCATGTTTTATCACGTGCAAACTTCATTTGCACGATGTAGGATTTTATAACATCATCTATCGATTTGTCGGCGAATCTTCAATATTTATGTCGCCAGAAGATTACTAGGTCCTAAGCTAAATGGGGCTTGTAACTTATCATAATAAAACTGGCGATGAACCGGTTTTTCTTTAAAAACGTAATATAATAATGTAGGACGGCTTTAAAAGCCTATGAACATACTTGATGCGTCTTCTAATTTCTCACTTTCAACTGGAACTTCCTCTTTATCGGTGTTATCTTCGGCATATTGTATGCCAATTTCTGTCTTGCACATGCCTACGAATTCGGTTATCTCCGACATCGTGGGACCTATGGATTTCGTTTCCAGACCCACGTGAGTGCTGGTGCTGGTCGTTACATAAACCAGTGGTTGGTTCTCTAGAAACAAATAAGTAAATTAAAATAATATGCAAAGGAAGTCCCTTACCATTTTATGTATTGTTTTGTCTTACTTTTGATAAAGTTTTTATTTCTTTTCTCCTTGCCGGTCGAACGTTGCAAGTGCGAGTTCCGAGCCCTCGATTTGAATTCTTAAGTAGCGCATAATTTTTTTGAGCTTTTCGATTTCGGGAAATTCTATGTCTGTGGTTATGGCGCCTGGAATTTGGTGCTCGATATGTAACAATTTGGTCGCAATATTTATAATTGGGAAAACAGTATGTGACATTTCATTTAGTGAAAGAAAAGTGGCTAATGATGATTTATTTGTATATATTACTGCACGATTGGCGCAGTAGTTGGGTGATTAGCTTCTATGCAACGTGTCGTCCAAAAATGTGATAATAGCATTTACTGACTAAAATTATTGTTATTAGCCCGGAGTCAAGAAGTTCGCGGTGTTCCACCCCTGTGCCTGGAGAGCACGTAAAGCCGTTGCTCCTGCGCCTGATCTCTCTTCAGTCGTGTCAATCTGCGGTCTATCGGGTTCAGAGAGTGCACATGCGTTTGCATACACTTGTGCACTATATCTCCTGGGTAATGGGCTAGTCTAGTTAGACTTGGCACCATGATCGAAATCGATCGGGAGATTTATATTTACTTATTGTGAGGATATTGCATTTATCTCTAACTTGAGATAAATAAATATTATTGACTTACTGGTCCCTTCTTTCCCATCAGCCTGTATCTGAAGTGACGTTTTTCCCATGAGAGCCTTCTTAATCAGATTGTTCAGTAATAATTCTGAAAATATATTTCAAGTTAATTTACTGGGTAAGGAGCAGACAGGTCACGGATGGTACATGACAGAACCCTTGCACACTTAGCACACCAAAAGAATGAATAGTGCGTTTGAAGAAAGAGGAGGAAGATCGGCCTTCTGGTAACTTCACTCATACGAATGCGAAATACAACGCAAACGTTGTTACACACCGGTTCTCTTTGACACCATCAATCAGTTAGCTCAAGGACTTTAAATTGACCACTCTTAAGTATTTACTCAAACAGTGCTTTTAAATCAATCTGCTGGAGTTAGCAAAATAAAATCAAAATTTGAAATAACTATTCTTCTTTCTTACGTGTTTCATAATAGGAATCCACTGCTCCTGCCGATGTTTCTCTGGTACAATATAAATCTGTGAATTTGACGTCCGTGCCTGTTGATAAGAATAAAATTAAAATAGGGTAGACGACTAATTTTTATTTTAATGTCTGTCTGGTAGATTATTTTAAATCATTACACACGTATTTTTTATTTTCTTACAGAAACGAATACTTTTGACGATATATTGATTTGAAATGTCGTGTGACGTCACTTTTATGTACATTTTATACGTAGAAATGACGTTTTAGCCCCCACTCCTAAACTTTGATTCGTTATATCTAAGTATTGTTTTATTATACGACAAAATAAAAAAATACGTGTCTAATATTTTTTAAATACCTAACTTACGGACTAATTAGATTTTTAATTTTCATACCCTGTCGTCATCCCAATTGTGCCCTTATAGCAAATTAAACCCCCAGTCTATTTAGGCTTACATTAAAAGTAAAATGTTATGAAAAAAATTGTATTTAATTTATTTAAGTTGCATAAACTTAAACACAAAAGTGGAGCAGACATTATGTTATCATAATACTTAATACGTTAGGCTACTGTTACATTGCTTGGCAAGAGCGGATAAAAAATGAAAAAATGTTGTAGAATGCTGAGAAGTTATTAATATAGTTTCATGTGTTAGGCTAAATTATTGAATACAAGTTTCCTTAGTTCTGAGCTGTACGTAGCTGTCGGAGCTGGGCAAAAACTTTCAAAAAAAACATTCTGTGTATTACAAGATATTAGAAGAATGCAGGATACATTTTTCTTTACCAAACAAAACTATTTTTATCAAGTCCAACATATTTTTAACTAAAAATTACGCGTTACTCAAGTAAATGTACAGCCTACAGCAGTAGGGTAGAGTTTTTCTCAGTATATAATACTTACGTGATTTTTAGTTATTTCAGCATGTCCCACGATAGTTATTGTAATAACAACATATTTTTCATTAACATTTCTTAGAGGTACACTCGGCCTCACATCAATCTATACAAAACCAGTTTATCCTGGTGTCGCGTCGCATCATCTTTCCGCACATTTAACGTTCAGTTTATACTGGTTATGTTAGCTCGATGTGTAGCCGTGTGTACATAGGTGACGTTAATCAAAATCGCTTTATGTCTGTTATTGTAACAGTAGTCTAAATTCTTATTACAAATGCTAATGCGTCCTGGCTTCCATGTTAAAAGGGTCTCCTTAACAGATGTAAAGAGGAAATTAGAATAAAAAATACTTTTATATGATTATCTTACCGCATGTCACGACGTTCAAGGGTGTACAAGTACAGTTCTGTCTATATGATACATTGCAGGCCACCGCTGGCTTGTCCCCTGTTGTTACTATAGAAAACAAGCAATGTTTAGTGGTTATGCGAAAATATCGATTATGTTTTTCGATTTACTCACGTAACTGTTTGACGAGGAACTCTACTAGTTTCAAGCTACGCTAGAGGCTTATACTCATGAGCGGTGTATTTGAGTTCTCCTTCAAAGAGTAACGTACGTAAGCCAAAAAATATAATAATTAAGTTAGCATATCGTTATAATACAAATATGTGTATAAAAGTGTGGGAGAGCCATGCTTCGGCACGAATGGGCCGGCTCGACCGGAGTGATACCACGGCCTCACAGAAAACCGACGTGAAGCAACGCTTGCATTGTGTTTCGTGGTGGAGTGAGGTTACCGGAGGCCCAATTACCCTTCCCCAATCTCCCCAATTCCTGAATCACCAACGATCCTCAAACTCCTAATCCCCAAAAGGCAGGTAACGCACTTGTAACGCCTCTGGTGTTCCATGGGCGACGCCGATTGCTTACCATCAGGTGATCTGTCTGTTCGTTTACCGGCTTATGCCACAAAAAAAATGTATATGGAATATGGTCTATGGTTTATGGTTTTGGGTTTATACTCTTTTATTGCAATTGTTTATAGTTTTAATATAATTTGATTATTGTATTTTTAAAAAGATATCAATTAAAAAAGTAATTTCAAATACATGATTACCTGTACTTGGTGTATTTGACGTAGGCAGTAATTGTCTTGATGAAATGGACATTATTTTCGTGGCTGAAACATCGAAAAATTGCTAAATAAGTACTTGTTGATCGGTGGATGGGTAATATTAAGAAGGTAATGAACAAAGACAGTGTATGAAAATTAAAAATATAATTAATCCGTCAGTTGCATAATGAAAAAATATTAGACACATATTTTTTATTTTGTCGAATAAGAAAACAATACTTGATAGAACGGTGTAAGTTTAGGAGTGGGAGGTCGTTACGTCACGCTGCCCTATAAAATGTAGTAAATTTTGACGTCACACGATATTTCAAATTAACATATCGTCAAAAGTATTCAATTTGGTAAGAAAAGAAAAAAATATGTATCTAATGTTGTAAAATAATCTATCAGACGGACATTAAAATAAAATGTAGAATACTACCCTGTTATCTAAGTAATAAAAATACCTGTCAAAGCGAGTGTTGTTGGATTGGCAGATGCTGTCTGAACTGCATAACTTTCTTTTACGCAATCGTTCATTACAGCATGTACTGTGAAAAAAAAGCGATTGTAACTCTTGTTCTTTTTTTTTAAAGAACATTGGCCCACACTTATGTTTTCTCCAGTGTCGTGGGTGCGTTTACAAACATACAAGTTGACATACACATGGCACCCAGACCCTGAACAACAATCTGTGGATCACACAAAGAGTTGTTCCTTGCGGGAATCGAGCCCGCGACACATTGAGCGGCAGTCAGTTGCCCAACCACCGCGCCAACTGTGTAGTCGAATAATTTCAGGAACAGGCTTACTCTTGAATCCAATTCCGATCGATCGACATTGGTATAGTGAAATTTCGTACTCTTGAGTCGCAACACTAGCGCCCATTGCATCCGTATTGCGTGGATGTTGAATGAACTAAATGGTATTGAGTTTGGCTTTATATTCCGTACTCTGATGCAAGCTACGATAGGGGTTGTATAGTTTTGACATTGTATAATTATTGAGATTTTATTGGATTGTAATTGCATTGACATTGAGATTGGTTTCAAGAGTAAGCACCCAGAACAAATATGGTGAGTGGTATGAGAGCAAGCGTAATAAGGCAGTAGCACTAGAGTTTTGGATGTCGAACGTCAGTGCTGTGAATGTCCATGGGCAACGCAGTTGAAGTGATGACTTACCATCATTGACGCACCAGGTGATTCATCTACTCATTTGGCTCTTTTACCATAAAAAATATAACATAATACATTTAATCCTTTTCTCAAAAGTCCTCATCTTTCGGTCGTTCCTAGTTTTTACATAACATAACATCACGTCTTTTATCCCCGGAGGGGTTGGCTGAGGTGCACATTATACCACTATACAATGTAACACCCACTTTTCACTATTTATGTTATGACTCCCATGTAATAGGGGGTGAGCCTATTGCCATATACCGGGCACAATTCCAGACTCCGTGCTACTACTGAGAATATTTAAAAAAACCCAGTAATACTTTGCCCGACCTGGGAATCGAACCCGAGGCCCCTTGCCCAGCAGTCGCACTTACGACCACTCGGCCAACGAGGCAGTCGGTAGTTTCTCTATGTTCTTTATAATATAAATTAATAAATGTAAGGCTGTCAACACTGTTTTAATTTTAAGCCTTTACCTTCAACCGTTGATGGTGCGGGCGTGCAAGCCGTTGACACTTCAGCTATGGAGGCTTCAGGAGTCATTTGAGTTTCAGTTTCTAAGAAAAAAAAAAAATTTGCGAGTAACAAATTTCTATCTCAATATTCCTATGGTCCCATGCACTTATGGAACTGCTTTAAGTCTCGAACGAACTTTATATATTTTAATGCATAGTGGGTGCAGCATAGTCTATTTTCATGTAACATTCTCTATCGTCCAGTTGATATAAATTTGTTGTATTTCTAGACTACTTCAGCAAAATAGGTGTTCCCTGACGAATCTAGATTCAATAGTTTGAAACTTTTGAAAATTAACATCTGCTACACTTTAAAATGATTCATGGTAGGTGTCCAACCCACACGTATGAAGCGCTTTGCATCAAGCTTCCTTGTGAGTACTGCTAAGGAGTGAAATTCTTTGTCGGAGTCTGTGTTTCCTGAAGAGTATAATGGTATAACCTGGGTGTTTTCAAGGCCCGACTGAATAGGTTGCTTATGGTCTAACGTGCTGCATCGTAGATCGCATCATCGCTTACCACTAGGCGAGATAGTGGTCAAACGTAGGCCCATCAAATATTGTATATAAAAATATAGTTTACCTGTTGCAGGTTCTGGTCTAATGTCCTCAGTCTGTGATGACAACTCAGGTTTCTGTTCTTGCATCGATTCGGTCTCCTCATGTAGTATCGTTATATCTGAAAATCATTTTGTGCGCGTATTTCACAATAGGTACTTAATGATGGCTTGTTATGAATATGTCGTAGATTCAAGTTTACTAGAGAACTCTAGGTAACCCTTAGTTGGTTCGTTGTGGTGGTTGGTCTGAGAAGAGATGGGTGTGGTGACATACGTATTCCACACAGGACATTTTGTTGTATAAAACTACTCTTTTACTAAGGTACCTTTGGTTGGAAAACTCGTTGTTTTTTCAGCCACTTTTACTTTAACTGCTGATATGCCTGTTGTTATTTTGTTAACGGACAAGCTTGGTGACATTTGTGTGTCTATTTCTGAAACTTTAATAGAATATAATTATATTCTCTGGTATTAAAACAAAGGTCTAGTTTTCAAATCCAATCATTTATTTTTGATAGGTTATTGTAAAGTCAAGCCAACAGACATTTTGTAAGTACAATGATTGGGTGAATAGTGCTTAACTCTACCGCAACGCCATCTATGAATCGCAAAAACGGTATACTGTCTAAATATAATATTTAATTGGATTTTAATCTTACTGTCATTTTGTTGTTCGGCACTAACAGCTCTTGATTGTAATTTCCGCAAAGTAGGAAACACTGATTGCTGAGTTTTCGTTTCATTAAGTTGTGTTATTTCTGAAAACGTGATAAAAAATGTAACATATCACCGGTATGGTGACGTATTTCTTTTAAAAGTCTAAAATTGGATCATAATGATACGAAGGTTGGAAATTAAAAGTAAAGCGCAGTAGAAATGCGAAGATAAATTTTAACGAGACTTGCTTAAACGAGATAACTAGGAGAATATACAAGACATAATTATAAAATAATATTACCTGAACCGGTATATGGTTTGTAATAGGTTATGTCACAAGCAGAAGTAATCGTTCCTGTCGAACTGTGATTGAACATTGGCAGGAATGATACGTCCGTTTCTGAAGAGAATACATTGAAAATATAAAAAAATAAACAATTATGCTAAGAATAAAGAACAGGAGACAGCTTCAGTCGTCGAAGCTTTGTTGAAGAATTTTGATAAAATATATTAAATTATGGATCCCCATACTGGCTTGAAACTAATCGAGTAACCTCATCAAATTGATACGTAAGTAAGCCGTACAAACTTAGTCATTTAAAGATAAATTAGGTATCATACCTGCATTATGACACATGATAATCTTCTGCGTGAAGGCATCCTTCGATAATTCAACAGACATTCGATATGGGTTGGACCTCATAAAGGTGCTCGTCACCTTATCGTACATGAAGTAAGGTAAATCTGATGTGTCTGTGTGTTGATCGGATAAATTCAATAAGAACATTTGCGTGAAACTGGTCGATCGCTCCACTTTTATGGGCATTAGGTGTTTATCTAAAAATTTTCGGTTTGGCATTAATAAAAACTACATGGAAGTGCTATGTAGACATTACATGGAACAGTTGCGTTAACTAAATGAATGGATAAGGTCGATTGGAGTGATACGGCAGCATGGGAGAAATAAGAGGTTAAACAACACTGTTTCGCCGCGTGGGTGAGATTTATAGGAGACCCAATCCATCTTCCAGGAAAGACTGGCAACGCACTTGAAATCCATCTCTCACTGATTATCTGGTGATGCGTCTACTTGTTTCCCCGTCCTCCCATAAAATATAAATAATCTTTGAACATAAGTACCTTCATACTGACAACTTTTGCGGAATTCAATTTTGTTAGTACTCCAAGAGAATTTGTTGATATTATTAGTGGCACTGTTGCAATTATCTCGGTAACAAGGAGGATGATATACTTGAGATCTTTCTATATTTATCGTTCTTGCAGATGGAGATCTTTGTTCTGAAACTAATATTATGACAATTTAATAATAATTTTACAATATTTTGGTTTAAAGGGCTAAATTAAACGAAAACTATTAAAACGAATTAAAGTAAGAAAACGTCAGGCACTTACGTGAATTATACAAAAATGGAATAATGGAAGGGCCTAGACTTGAATGCTTGCTTTTTGGTTTATGATTCGAAAACTTATACGCTGTGAAATTAAACAAATCAAAATTACATCACCAAATTATGCCTGTCAATCGAATTTAATTAAAAGATTAACATTCTGGCAGATATTTTGACTGCAATTTTAATTAACGAATTATAACTTACCAAATAAATTGCCACCACAATTATCATCGGACGTAAGAAGTAAAAAAACTTACTGGACTCATTAAGATTGTTCATATTCAGCCAGGATCCCATATTGAACACAGTACTTATTGCTGCGGACTTCAGTTCTTTTGGAACACTGTCTGTACCTAAAAGCAAAAGTATGTCTCGTGCGTGAAGGAAATAGTTGAGACGATTTATGAGGGAAAGTACTTTACTTGTGAGTTTACACATATCTGCTGGGATTGGGGGAAATAGGCCCTTTATTAGCTGTAGGGTAGGTCTTAGAAAAGATTTATTCGACACGAATCGAAGCTAAGGTTAAGATTTGTGTCTAATGAGTAGGAATTTAAAGTGCAAATACATACATATACAGGTATTAATACATTTTTATTTTATTCGTTTTTAAATATTAAAATATGGTAAAATTGCTTAATGATTTTCTTTTACAATTTACATTTACTATTTGGGACTTATCGTCTCATGTCGTAATCAATTGTCGTAAATACTAATATTTTGAAATACCTGTTTCACTATAAATCGGTGTATACGTCTGTACATCAGCGTCTTCCCATACTGTTCTACGTTTCAAATGCTGCATGACGCGGACTGAGGAATAAAATTTAATAAAAATGTTATGATAACAATTATAAGCAAATTATACCTACTCTGTTCTCCCTAAGGTTGTGCTGTGACAGGCGTTGCACTGTGAGAACTCCGGACTACTCCGGAGCAGCTCTATTAGAGGACTAAGTGCCCCTTACAGGTGCTCAGCGTGGTCACTGGGGTAGTTTTAATAAGGTAAAAACAGCCACACTTCCTAGTCTTTTATCCCCGAAAACCTAGGCGCCTTTTCAGGGTTATAAAAGGTATTCTGTTCTATTAGCAACTTATGATTACTAGTGACCCGGCCCGGCTTCGCACGGGTGCAATATGCATATATTATACATAAAAATCTTCCTTAAGAATCACTCTATCTATTAAAAAAACCGCATCAAAATACGTTTCGTAGTTTTAAAGATCTAAGCATACATAGGGTCAGACAGACGGCGGATAGCGACTTAGTTTTATATTATATAGTGACGACTCACTTTAAAATGACATAATAAGCTGACTTCTGTTCGTGTGTAGTGAGTACATACATTACTTCCTGGTTTTCATCTGTTTAAAGTAACGCCCGAACACTAAAATGCTACTCGATTTTATTTTCGTTATTAAAAATAGTGCCATCTCTGTCACTAACAAACACTATTTGTAGTGACAGACTATACTGAAGCGCGACTTAAAATCGAGTGGTATTTGAGTATTTCAGCGAATGTCTATACTTACATTTTTTAAATCGTATTGAAGACCTCATGGACCAGGCGGCCCATCGTTCAGCAGTCTTCTTCCACACACGGTTCCACAATCGCCGCCGACAAATCCGGCGGATTGATATGCGACGTCGCCATGTTACGAAAGGACTTAGCACTGGGTAAGAGAAATAACACTAATGATAAACGTGAAACTTTGTATGCATGTTTGTCCCACAATCACGCGGAAACTGCCGAACCGATTTTGATGTAAGTTGGTGAACAGGCAGGGTATGGGTTGACTTAGCTGATAGGATACTTTTTGAAACCTTCCATGAAGTTGCGGGCAACAGCTAGTATTTTATGATATTTGATAGATAGGTATGTAACTTATAGTTTTTACCCAATGGCTGCAATCCCATTTCTGTGCCATCTCTATGCAGAAATTAATAATAATATATTTCGAAGCGAAAACGTAATCTGAAGGTTCCATTTTACACATGGTTGAATAACTTTGATGATGTATTAATCAAATAAAGATTCTGGAATACCTCGAGTCATGGCAGAAAAACGGTAAATACTGATTAGTTTCACACGTATTCGTTATTCGAAATGTCACAGAATATGCTTCTAAAAATAGTATTTTATTGCGAATAATTCCTTTGCTATTTCTTGATACTTTTATTAATAGCTCATAAAACGTTTTATATTCAATTCTATTTTAAGACGCAATAAGTTGCAAATCCCGTAGACATTGTGAGGCTCGTGTAAATTGATGTTCTTTTCCATTCATATAATTTTTACTACCTATGTAATATCCTAATTCAAGATATTTTGAGATATCATTGATTCTCTACAATGCTTTATCAACATCATATCAGCTACAAGACTTCCACTGCTGAACATTTAAGCATTTAAGTGTGGGAGAGCCATGCTTCGGCACGAATGGGCCGTCTCGACCGGAGCGATACCACGGCCTCACAGAAAACCGACGTGAAGCAACGCTTGCGTTGTGTTTCGTCGTGTGAGTAAGGTTACCGGAGACCCAATTACCCTCCCCTTCCCCAATCTCCCCAATTCCTGAAAACCTTCGATCCTCAAAAGGCCGGTAACGCACTTGTAACGCCTCTGGTATTCCAGGTGTCCATGGACGACGCCGATTGCTTACCATCAGATGATCCGTCAGTTCGTTTACCGCCATAAAAAAAACATAGCCTTCCCCTATTGACTTAAAGAAAATTCTTCTAAAAAAGTGTACAAGTTGATTTTATTCACTCACTTTTGTACCGACTGCTAGGAAATTTATTGTAGCGATGGCACTCCGGGCATATGTTTTGTAGACTACGCTTAGCTTTACTGTCAATCTGTTTTCTAAAAAATACATTCTTATTTGTGCAGCTGCCATGGTTCGGGCTTTCTGTAGCAAAAAAAAAATGTTTAGTGTATAAAGACAAGCCTATGGTAAAACATTTTCTTCTTATACCTATATAAAAATGAATTGATGTTCGTTAGTCGCACTCAAACTCGAAAATGGCTGGACCGAGTTAGTTAATTTTGGTCTTGAATTGTTTATTGAGGGAAGGTTTAAAAGGTGAGAAAAAATGTTTAAGGCGGTACGAAGTTAGCTGGGTCAGCTAGTTAGATAGAAAATATAAAAGTAAATAACATTGGGTCCTTTCGATTTTGCATTCATGTGATGGCCGTTAGTAACGCGTGAAGTTTTGTTAGTCCAATCAGCTTATCTATCACAGATTGACTGACAGACGACTTGACAGGCAAATATTCTGTAATGCCCCATCCACACGATTGATGTTTGCCACAAATACCAAACACAATAAATAAAGTCCCGAATACCTGTGGATACATCGCAAACTGTTTGCCAAACAGCCTTTGATCTGTGTTTGTGTTCGCCGCTGTTCGACACCGATCCCGAACAGTGGCGAACACAAACAGGAACAGGCAAACACATACAAACACCTATCCACATGTAGGTGTTTGTTGTTTGGTGTTTGCCATTGTTTGCCAAGCGTATGGACGGGGCTTTAGTCATTTATCACATAAATTATCAGCCACTGGACGTCAGGTGGCTGATACCCTTACCTCAAACATTTCCAGATTGATCAATACCACAAAAATTAAGAAGTTTTTTAACATGTTAAACGCCACGGAGATCACTGGAGACCAACGTTATTACACAATTTGCCATCAACAGTTTGCCATTGTAAGTAAAATATTTAACATATGTAAAATTTTACCTCTACTTTTAGAATCAGTTTCAGTCGTATCGCTCTTGTACTTGGTAGACCAGTCAGTAGTTACGGCAGTAGAATTATCAGTAATCATTTCATTTGAATTCGATTGATCTGGCAGTTGACCCCACCCAGGATTCGTCTGGGCTTCAATAACAAACTCATCCATCCTATCTCTTTCTCCCTCTGTGGCCTCTTCATTTGATATTATATTATCACTAGTATCGGTGGTGACAGCGTTGGTTAGTGTTTTATCATTGTCGACTCCTATAGCTATTTGGAATAAGATGTCTATTAGAAAATAATCTTTATTCTCCCTATACTTTTACCTACTAAAATTCATTTTTTTCACGCGTGGTGAAAGAAAATAAATGCCTATACCGCAAATAACAGTAACTAGTATTTTCTTTATAATATTTTCATCACACACAAATACTCATCAGACGTCACTTAAAACGACGGGTTTAGCACGAAGAAGAGCATATCAATGCTATGTAAAAGAATATAATACTATATGTTGCTGTTTAGAATAATGTCCTTAATAAGGTCTTTTTGGAAAAGAAACTTATACGAAGATTTTATTAGAAACTACGTACCATCCATCATTTCAAAGTTGGTGGTCTTCTGCAATATTTCTGACAAGCATTCAGTGTAAGATGGTACTGGTATTCGTTGGGTTGGTGTCACTGCGTGGCTCACGTTTGCAGGACAAGGGGTGGGTTGTTTGGTTGGCTGTGGGGCTTTGTTTGGTTCTGAAACCACTAAAACAAATTTCATTTCAACACCGTTCTCGAAATAAGTACTTGTGACTCCTCTGGTGTTGCGTGTGCTCATAGATGTCGATCATTGCGTACCATCAGGTGATCTGTCTGCTTCTTTGTCCTGCTATCCTATGTTTTTTCTAGAGCATTTCCAATTATCAAGTAGCTCGTTGGCCTTGATTTTGGCGTTGGAATTGACTGCCTCGTTGGCCGAGTGGTCGCAAGTGCGACTGCCAGGCAAGGGGTTTCGGATTCGACTCCCGGGTTGAACAAAATATTACTGGGATTTTTAAGAAAAATCTCAGTTGTAGCACGGAGTCAAGAATTGTGCCCGGTATATGGCAAGCTTACCCCCATATAACATGGGACTCATAATATAAATGGTGAAAAGTGGGTGTTACATTGTACAGTGGTATTAAGTACCGTAATGTGCACCTCCATTTGGCCTTCGGGGATAAAAGGCGTGATGATATGTTATGTATGTATTGATTAATATGAAATTTTTGGGCTTAATTTTATTAATTTTTATTCTTAGATACCTGGTTGGGGTACTTGTGATATTTTGATAGTAATGTTCGTTTTAGGAATGACACCAGTACTTTCCGTGATTTCTTGCCTATTTCCTATTTCGGGAGACATACAGAGGACAACTGTTTGTTGTTCTTTTAATAACAAGCTTGGACCTGGAATTAAAATATTTTAAAACCAACTAGGTATAAAATGGGTATTTAAGACTAGTTATACTCAATTTCATTTACCGGAAGCCGTCAATAATAGCACTTGGCAAACAGTGCTAAGAGACAAATACCATTTAAATGCACAATACCGAAGAGAGCAGATACCTTAACATGGAGGGTTGATGGAAATCATGGCACTTATCAGTATCATTTCCATACCTGAACAATGAATTTTCTACTCTCTAGACAAGCGATTGAATGGTATTTTGCCTGCACGCGCTCAATATCAAATGACTACGTAAAAGTATGATCTAACCCTCACTGCACTCCGACTCCGGCTTCGACGACGCACATAAGCTACAGCTGTTGTCTTGTAAAATGCCCAAAGTGAACGTTTTGTTTGAATTAGCCGTCTTACATTCCGACTCTGATAGTAAAGTAGATTTTTCAGCATTTTTGCTGCTCATTGTTTTATAACCTGTAAGATTGAGACAAAGTTGAATGTTATGCAACATAATTTTTAACAGAAATTGTAACAATTGCTATGTCTATTCCTAAGATTTTACAAATTTCAATGATCTGGATCCAAATACTAAATGCTTGTAAATGAAAAGTGTTAATATGAGAAAAAATTGGTATCAGATGTTTTTTTTTTCGGATCGTAGAATAAGTTAATAAATTTAAAAAGTTTAGCTTATATCTAGGACTCTACACCAACTTACATAAACATAACTATGTATAGTGTATATATAGTGTGTAACTATGTATAGTGTATATGCATGTATAGTGTATATACTACTGTTATAAAAAGAGAGTACCTGATTCAGTATCCCTAGTAGGAAACTGGATATCAGATGAAAGCCACACGGTGACATTTTCATTAGTAGTTTGACGTTCATTCATTACGATATTCTTTCTATCTATTACCATGGTAGGTTTCCCAAGCTCTTGTTGATGACAATTTGCTGGTGATGCCACTATGTGATAAAAAGGTACATCTTAACGTCTTTATTAGATAAATGGCGTTAGAAATAACTAAATAAGTAAGTAAAGGATAAGCTGGACTTCATTGGAGGGAGTGAGAGGGAAGGGGCATTCGATTCCAGCACGGAAGAAATCTTTGCGTGATCCACAAATTGTTGTTGCGGTTCTGGGTGTCATATGTTTGTGAAATTATATGTTTGTAAACGCAGCCACACCCACGAAAAAGGAGCAAATGCTAGTGTGGGACGGACGATCTTTAAAAAAACCTAGAGCAAAGATTATTTGTTTATCGGTTATAAAATTATATTTTTTATGCAATAAATGACATTTTTGTGCTGCTACTTTGTGCTTAGTATGATATCCATTCTTCAAAAACTTAGAAATCTCATCTAATTTACAAACCAGTACTTGAAGCTCCATCGTCCTCATTAAGTGTACTTTCGGTTATTGGGTTTGACGCTGTTGTATTTATTGGACTGAATTCCATGAACCAATCTGATATAGGAAACAAAATATTAGTTAGTTTAGGTTTGTTAATTATTCTACTATTTACTCATTTTGATCTGAAGTTTTAACAGATGTATTCGAATTTCGAAAATGAAATTCTCGTCATAAGAATTAAAGCTACCGTTTTTTTGTCCCCCAGGTGGCGCTAATCTAGCAAGAATTATCTGTCCAATCGCTGCAGCTGTCAAAAATTGAATGATCAATTGTGCGACACTAGCAAATTCTTTATTGGACGAAGAACGAGAGTTTACACACTAGCGACATCTAGTGAACATAAATTGCCCGATTCGGAATCGAGCTCGAAACCTGCATAGCAGTTGCAGTTACATTTTCTACCTCAACAACTAAACCTACTGGATCTTAACGTTTAAAATCTTATTGGAAACTAATTCGGATATTCGGACATTAAATGTAATTTGGAACAACACAATACTTCATTTTGTTTACCGTTCAGTCGGTCACTATCTATCATATTGATTCGGCCATAAATCTGTCCCAGAGTTGGAATAGGTCTCGTCGATTGTACCGACGCCGGTGGAGGTACGCGATCCTCTGGGCAGAATTCTGTAAATCAAATCGAGAAATGTGTAAACGATTGTTTTTCCTAACCGAATACTACTACTAAAATCGATTTGACAAGAGTTGTGATATGGGATGCTAAAGTTAAAAATTGGCTGCTTCGTTGATTAAATGTTCGCGATTGTGACAGCAGGGTTTCGAGCTCAATTCCCATCCGAAATAATCATAATTATAAGACGTTCTAACTAATAACCATTATCATACTGTCTTAGGAGATTGGATACCCAACATATTTGAGGAGTTGAGGAAACAATAGCGAAATAAATTATTTCCTACATCAGGGGTCGGCAACAATTTCAAATTTCTTGTTCTACAGGTGTAAGTAATTGCCTATCATCAGGCAGCTTTACTTTGCTTCTGATGGTAGTGTAGGTATCAAGTATTTCATTTATGAATACCGACACATTATTAATTATTCTATTTTCGTCTTACTCACGTAAAGGAGGCCATACACGCTAGGTTATGCATGATGGTTATAAGTTTGCATGCAAAACCGACAAGCTTAACCGAGTTTCATACCACGCATGCACCGGTAACTGTACAGTTTAATCACATACACGCGGGCTTGCCTGTCGGTTATGCATGCACGGCTAAAACCATCATGTAAAATCTAGCGTGTATGGCCTCCTTAACTGTTTGACGAGGAACTTGACTAGTTTTAAGTCATGCTAGAGCCTCATGAGCATGAATATAAATTTATGAGAAGCATTCAGCGACCCGCGACGCGGTGACTGTCGTGCTACTAGTACTGCTAGTCGAGTTCCACGTCAAAGAGTCACGTGAGTAAGCCAAAACATTATAGTTAATTTCGTATACCTTACGAAAGTTATAATACCGACATATTATCGTTAATGCAACAGCTTTCCACCAGTGACTTCACTCGCCTGGTCAAATGCAGTAGTGTCTTTATCTATCTAAAATTAAGGCTTACTACTGCTAGCGTTTTCTTGTAATTACCTTGATTTATCAACATTTGAACTCTCTGAACATTTCTACATTCAGGTATAAACTGGTTGTTGGAAGTTTCATTTTTTTTCAACAACTCGCAACTATCTTCTTTATTGCATTTTCGACGCGGTATAAGACTTGGTTTTGATTTGTCTGCTGTATCCATGAAAAAAATTCTGTTAGAACGGTTCTGTACATAATCTGTTAACTTATAAAAATTTGATTAAGAATTATGATATTAGTTTACCAGCCAATTAAAATACTTAATATCAATGATATATATGGTATTTGTATAAAATGCAATATTTGCTACTAACTCGAGTCATCTTTTTTCATTTTCATTGGAAAACCACCCATTTTGCTTGATCCAGGTAATGAATCTCCTAAAACCCGAATCATATACATTAGCAAACTGAATATTGTACTCCTCGGTTGGATAATGTTCATAGCTCGATGAATTGGTTGTTGAACATTTAAATTTAATCTTTTACTTACCAGTCTGGTCGTGGAAACTTTTCAAATGTTCAATACTTTTGAAAAATTTAGACTGCACTGACTGGCGAACAATTCTGGGCAGTTTGCTGTTGATCTTTCCTTTGCTTTGATCTGTGTATAATTATGAAGTTTTATTAGTAACCTAGTCATCTACTCACCATTACTATTCATGTTTTATTTGTAAAGAATAATTTATACCGTTAGCCAATATTTGTTTAGAATTCGATATATTTATTCTCAAGTTCTGCCCAAAATCAGCAAGTTTAAACATTTCTTTTGCACTTTCATCATTTTGCGTATTATCCATCTCGTTGTTTCAAAATTACTACAAGTTGTTCTAGATTTTTATAGTTTCTTCAATTACTTAGAATTTTTTTTACCCTCTTTAGATAACTCGCTCCTGATAATGCTCTCAGTTTTCTTAACCAAGAGGCAGGAGCATGATCTCATAATGTTACAGTTTTAATGACTATTCCATCCAATCGATATGAGCTGCTACATATTTTAGTCGATCGACGTATTATGCTCACTGGTTTCCAGAAACAACCATTCAAGTTCAGGTTAATTTTATTAATCTTTTCAACAAAACTATTTGATAAAAAAAACCAAAGTAATGCTTTGTTTTTGTTTATTTAAATTTTTAACAATCAATTTTATGAAAATCTAAAAATTATTGCATTTTATTTTGACAATGGGAATTTGACACAAGTTGCTTAAGTCAGTCAAGTTTTCTTCTAAATTAGTAGTCGAACTTCTTGCTTAGTCGCCAGTAGTAGTTTCATCGTCCTCAATGCTCTCATCTTCATTGATAAAAAATGTTCTCTCAGAATGGGCTTTCTGTTGTGCTTGTATCTCTTCTAGTTTCTTTATCAAATCCTCTTGGACACTGTCGACTATTTCTTTTAAATTTTTCGCTGAAAAACAACCAATATCAAGGAAATAATCGTATCTTTGGAAAAGTATATAGAAAAAACCAAGTTAAGATCTTTTAGACGGTGAAGTTGAAGAACTTGGAAGATATAATCAAAATAAATCAATGACGAAAAGAAGCAACAAACTAAAGGACTTAACTTACCAGTTTTTTGGTTGAACTCTTCAGCTATCAACGAGATTTTCCTTAACGTGCCAACATGTTTAGCTATTTCTGACGCAACATCATGATCTGTTCCTGTATTAACTGCTTGGTCTTGCGTTTGAGCTGTCCTTTTCTTTTCTGCTGATTGTTTTAATAAATCGCTATTAACTAATGGCATTTTGGGCATTTTAAACGATCCAGTTTTTGGTGGACTGAGGACTTCTATATCATCCATAGAAGCATCTTCGATGTTGCTGGCTGTGGTTGTGGGAGCAGGGAAGTTTAATGTGTCATTGGGTATTAATTCTGGTGCAAATGTTTGTAATGTCTCAATTTTCATAGGCGATGGACACTTCGGTGGAGATTTTTTTGAAAGCTTCACCGGTAAGGCATTTGTGATGCTATCTATTATCGTTTCTGAAAAGAAGAAAGACATTGATCTGATTTAGCTGTCAATTAAAATGAATGGGGCATTTATATTCTCTCATTTTTCTAAGATGCTTTAATTGAAACTGTCTTTGAAGCAGTTTGATATTATGTATATGCATATTTTGCTCTAAGTCTTGACAAGTTTCAACTTACGAACAATATTTTTGGGTGATTCTTCTTCTTGTTTCTTTTTAGACGCCAGCTTTCTGGTTAATTCAGCCAAAAACATAGAGCAAGTGGGTCCTGAAAACATACTAACATTAAAGTTTATCTTCAATTTAACAGTTGAACATTAGTCACAAAGCTTGGAAAATGATTTACCCATTATTATCTTCAATATATTTTAGTGCATGTATAAGAATATTACTTAATTACCGTCACTTTTACGCTTCTTTGCCGTTTTTGGTTTAGCGGCTGGTTTTTTACTTTTTGCTTTGTAGCGAGCAGGCTTTTCCATGACTGTAAATACAAAACATTGTATATTACTTTACTCAATTTACAATGTTTTGGCAAAATTGTACACGGAGCACGTCATTATTTATCCCTGGGGTTCCTAAAACCGTGATGTCTCATACTCGTGTTTCCTCTTTAATCATCTTCCTACACACTGTACGTAGGTGTTGCTACAATTAGATACATAAGACATTTACGTATTGCCCTTGAAATAGCTAATACATTATACACACTTCAAAATTCAAATCTATACGGTATCAAACCTTCCCACCGATGATGGTATATATAAACAAAGTCGTTTTTAAAATCAACCCTTTGATTTTCACTTCAAATCAAAGCTGACTTGATGGCTATGACATTTTCCTTAAAGATACAGCCAAAATTACCTTAAAAAGAATACTTAATGTATTCTTTCTTCTTGGAAAGGTTTTAGTCTGTTTCTCATAATCCGGTAGTGGACGTGTAGTTATTTTTAGAAATGATTTCGCAATTATAATGGCAAGACTTGTATCACTCAAGGAAAAAAGTAGCTTTGGATATTGTAATGCATTAAAACATTACTGTTTTAGTCTATATATTATACAACATAGCTATGTATTCTGAACTCTAAAAGCAAATATTCTTACCTGCTATGAAAAGGATAAAGGAGAATCTTTACGTACAATTTGCCCTCACATGATGATATACTGCATCAATATTCCTCAAGTCGACTAGAACTGAGAATCATAATGAAAGTTGTACTTACTCGATCGGTAGCCTCGGAAAGTCCCGGTGAACGGGACCTCCGTAAATAAATAATTGCTATCTTACTTACGAATAGCGTCACTAGGAATTTTATATTACACCTGACAGTATCGATGACAGTGACAGTTAGTTTATGGGTGCATGTAACAAAGGAGGTTGTGGAGTTTAAAGCATCGACTAAGTTGCAAACCTCCTTTGGCTATAATGCTCTTAAGGTCTGTCCATAGATATATGTATAAAATACATAGATTTATAAATATAACATATCATATCAGTGATAAAATATCATAGAATCTAGTGGGTCTGTCTCAGACTACGACTACTATGACTATGGTATTATGTAGTTGTTCTTTTAACGTGAAATTTTAGCACGTATGCACACTTATTTAATCCACGAAGGGTAGGAGAATTTGCATACATGTAACTTCAACTTTCCAGCAATTCTATTGTAAGTCCTATGTAACAAAGAACCTTTTGCCTTATACCAGGTACAATTCCAAACTCCATGCTGTGTTACACAGAGGTTTTCTAAAAACCGATAATCGCCAAATAGTATTTTGTCTGGCTCGGAACCGGAGATCTCTTACTCAACGGTCACACTCGTTCATGCAAAATAGGATTGCGTCTAAATCCAGCATTACCTTTCAAGTTATAAATGTGTTGTCGTAAAATTATACGAATTCCATGGATCGTCGAGTTGCTGAGGAAACTTCAATACTTTTCATAAACTTCAATACTTTTCATAGTTTTCAAGATGAATATAATTTCCTTATGACTGCGTCGGGGAGTGTATTTATAATAATGTATGGTGCGTATAAAGAAGCAGGTCTGTATGGGTTGACAAATCTAAGTATGAAGGTGGTTAAATAAGTGAATGGATTACATTGAAATGCTACTTACTAGCTTGTTGGCTTGTTCCTCTTCCCAGTGGGATAAATAATAACCTATGTGCTATTCCAGATTATAATCTACCTCTGTTCGAAATTTTAACCCGATCCTTTCAGCCGTTTTGACATGATTGAGAAACAAACACACACAAACTCACTTTGTCTATCCATACATACCCGTTTCGTTACGTAAGCACTAATAGTTGTGAGGGCACGACTTCAAAGTCTTTTGTTCTTTGTTTGGATTTTTCACAATTAGCACTGTCATATTCATATTCATCATCATCATCATTATCATCATCAACAGCCTATGCTGCTGAGCAAAGCCTCTTCTCATTAATCACAACGCTTGCTCAATACGGGTTGGCGATTCCAAACTTATAATTAGAAATAATAAGCCCAGGTTTTCTCACGATGTTTTCCTTCACCGTTTGTCAGTGGTGTTTAAATAATATTAGAAAGTACATATTATAATTCGGAAAAAGTCACATTGGTACTTGCCGTTGATAGGTTTCGAACTGCATGCATGAGAAGCAGGCGTCTTAAACCTCCGGGCCACAATGACATCAATTATATTAGTTTTTTAGGTTACTGGGTATATAAAGTCATTAAATGAAAGAAGCAATGTGGTATATAATGTTTAATATGTTATGTATTTAGAAGTATCATTGTAACTTCATATACGATGGCGGCATAATCACATTATAAGTTGTAGGAGTTTCTGTAAAGAAAACGAAGTGTTTAATGTCGGTACCGAAAAATGAGGTGGATAGGGATCGAGAGGTGAATAGAGACAGAAGAGGGGTGAATCGATATTGGGAAATTTTTCATTCACAATTCACCCCTCTTTTGTCTCTCTTCACATCTAGATCCATTCGCCCCATTTTACCTCATTTTTACATTTTTGGCGTGTAAATAGCGCTGCAAATGTTATTACAATAAGCTTTAAAGAACTTTAAATAAAATAACATTACGTCATTTACTACAGAAAAAAAATAAAAACACACCAAGATCGACTCATTCCCGCGGTAAGGTTGGTTTCTGCAAACAAAATAAACGCGATTAGTATACCTGAAGAATCTTAAAAGAAATATCTCGGTTTATTTATACAAAAAAGCGTGTACAGGTGTCTGTTCGAGGTATTGGACTTAAATCGAGCATGTGTTTGTATTCATTTTATATTGTGGGCTGTTTACTGTTTTGGAAAAGATGTGGGAAGATTTTTGCGCCTACGTTTTTCCTTGCCTGATGACACAGAATGAAAGGAATTCGTCAAACCATCTCAGTTTCGCGAATTCTTTTGACACGGTTTAGTGATGTGATGTAAGGTTTAATATGAAATTGTGTGTCATGAGTGGCGAGCATTGGCAGTAGTCAGTGATATTTATATGAAGTGGGCGTATAGTCTATTTCAGATCTAGAAGACTACAATGGTCTGTATAATTTAGTAGTTTCAGAATTTCGTGGAATGCCTTATAAGTAAGTTTTGTGAGAACGTGGTTATAGTGTCTTTTCTTTTTTCGTCTTCTCCTTACTATTATTTCAAGTTTCGATTTTGTTTTATGCTAGAAATGTTCTTCCAGAATATTGTCAAAGTAAAATGTTAATACTAACACTAATAGGAGATGGCTCTTTTCTTTCTTCCGTAGGAGCTGAAGTAGTTGTTTGCTGTTGAGATGATGCTGGTGCCGTAGTTTTCGGGTCTTGGGCAGCTTCAATAGAATGAGTGATGGAAGGTGTAACAGAATGCGTTTGTAGTACTGCAGCTGCTGCAGTTAATGGCACCTGGTTTGCTGAAATAAGAAAGTAAATACTTTATCTTCTATCTTTGTGTTTAAAAAAAATCATACTTCGCAATGACATGTTATCTTCTGTTGTTGATATGTTTACAAATACTTCAGCAAAAATGGAAGAATAGCAATTAGTTCATCGTACAAACAGTTGTGCTGCGAATTCAACTCTCTATGCAGCGCTGATCGTGGCCAATCGTGCAATCCACTGAAAGCATCAATAGCAGTATTAGTTTTATCTACTACAAACTCACGTGGTATACCATGATAACTTTCACGGGCATCATAAAACTTTTCTTTTGTCTCAGGAGGTGGCGCCACGGAGCTAGCATCAGACAAATTCTCACTAGAAAGACTAGAGTAACTCGCGTTTTTATTGGCTGTATCTTTCTTCTTCTTTTTTTGCTTCCTTAGTTTTCCAGCTGTTGGTGGCTGTGGTGGAGTAGCATCAGTGGGCAATGGATCATCTTTTCTTATGTCGTGCAGTTCAAGCACTAAAGGTGTGTGTTGAGCCAAAAATACTCTGTCTTGGTAAGAGTCTGAGTCAGATGTGTCTGTCAGATCAATGATATTATCCATTCCTTCATCTGAAAGAAGTTCGATTTATGTACTCCCCTAAGTCGTTGTCCTGCTATCCTACTAATCCTACTAATATTATAAATGAAAAAGTTTTATGTATGTTACTTTTTCACGTCAAAACGGCTGAAAGGATCGAGATGAAATTTTGAACGAGGGTATATTATGGTCTGGATACATATAGACCACTTTTTATCACAAGGGAACGCGGGCGAAGCCGCTAGCAGAAGCGAGTTTACTATATTATTTGTAAATAGCTAAACAGAACAGTGGTTACAGAAAATTGGTCTGTTTTTGCATTGTACCTCTATTTTACGATTACAATCATTATAGTTCTATAAATTGTTTAGGATTTAATTGATATTGCTACCCGAAGTAAGGAGTCAGATTTGTATGAGAAAAAATCTAGTCTGAAACACACTGTTATGTTAGTTTACTAACCTTGATCCATTTTGATATTAGCCATAAACCTTGTATTAAATTTGCGATTAGTCCTGTCTGATATTTTCTTACATTTTGTACATTATTTTAGTTTTAATCTAGCTGTTTATTGAATGCATATTTTTATTTGATGACACATGTGAATGATAGATTATTTTGACAGTTGTGTTTGATTTAAGAATTACAGCAAAAAGGTTTTAGTGTCGAAGTTTTTGCTAATTTAAAAAAAAATAAAATAAGAGTTGTTGGATCTGTGTTAGACTGTTGTACTGTGGACAACGTTTTTTAAAAACAATTAAATATAATTACAGGCAGGGACTACAGAAAAGCGACTTATAAAGGGTGTTACAAACATCGTAAGTTCAACAACACCAAAGGTCATAAACGGGAGAGAAACGACCAGAAACCGATATCACTGGACATAGACCACTCACGACCTAATAAACCTATGACCATTTTTTATATGGGTCATAAAAACCCGCTTGGAATTTACGACGACTTTGACAATGACCCCTAAACGCTACGTTAGGCAATGTGCTCAAAACTAATCAAATACTTTTATAGTGGTGTTTTGAACGTATGGTAAATGAAAAGTATGAGAAAGAAGGGATTACGTGTTTTTTAATGAAAACTGAATAGAACGTTTTTTCAATAAAATGTTGGCGTCTTTCTACGGTCAAGTGGAAGTACGACTCCTGAGGGCTTGAGCTCCTCGACCACTGATCGTTCGGAGATTAAATGCTGTAAGTATTTTTACCATATGAATTATATATAACTAGCGACCTGCCCCGGCTTCGCACGGGTGCAATATGCATGTATTATACATACAAACCTTCCTTAAGAATCACTCTATCTATTAAAAAAACCGCATCAAAATCCGTTGCGTAGTTTTAAAGATCTAAGCATACATACGGACATACAGCGAAAGCGACTTTGTTTTATACTATGTATTGATTGATTATTACAGACTAGATTTCGAAATTTTGTACGAGGTCGAAACCAAATTGATTTTAAGTACTCTCTAAAGACAGAGAGAATTATAGAGGGTTTTAAATGGTCATCTACATACTGGCTAACTTTGACAAGCGCAGCTTAAGCAACGACCAGCTAGTCTCAATATTCGGAACCTTACATAGAACTCTAGAACCGGGGAACTTGTAGATTGGTTACCTATAATGAAATGATTTAGAATAATGTTTTTCTTGAAACACTGTTTCATCTGGGACTCTAAACATGGTATTAATGATTGAATAGGGTCGGAGATGCCAAGTTTGATTCTCGCGCAAAGTATTACTGACATTTACATTTCGAATGAAAGGCTACGGGAGGGTTCGATTCCTGCACTGAGCAACTCGTTTTGTGATTCATTAAATAGTTGTACCGGGTCTGGGGTGTCATGTCGTGTATTTGAAATTATATTTTTGTAAACGCACCCACGTGTCACGACACAGGGAACAATCCTAGTCTGGGGCAACGTTTAAAAAAATACATAGGTGGTTGTTAGTAAAATACACAATGCTGTTTAATGTTTTAAATCGATTTTATTTACGAAATTTACACAAACAGTAACTTTACCAGAGATGTTATTGTAAATAACGTGTTTGCTAACCGTCAGATAAGTGCGTGTCACCTACCTTCAGTTTACGTTAACCGTTAGTTTTACTACTCGTTCCGTTTACGATGTTGTAAACTGTCGCGTTCGGTGGTTTAAAAGTTCTGTCGTTAAATGTTTTCCCAAAATTTTTATTATTGTTTTTGGAAATGATATGAAAGTGGATGACAATAGTAAAAATATTCTGTTTGCACCATAGATATATTATCATAGTTTGCACTTAAAAAAATACTATGAGGCAAATTATCAAATGGTTCGCCGTATAGTAAGCGATCAGCGTCGCAAAAATCTCACCCAGAAAGGTTTATAGACACACAACCACATGTAGATCTATGTCTGTGCACACAACAGTCAAAATCCAATACAACACGTTATGATGTAGGATTTCTCATAAATAAATAAACATAAGTATGATGTATTTACAAGGTACTTGTAAAACAACGTCAAGTGCAGATTTATTATCAATATTTACGACTTATATGAAAAGTTATAACGCGTGTAAAGTTCTGCTGACTCAAGAGCACTATTTTAGTTCTAGAATATTCGTAGGGCACATCGAGATTTATGTCCGATGCTTACAGAGCGGTGCTTGTAAAAATAGTCTAGATATTGTATGCGCGACAAGGGAATTGTGAAGTAACAATCAGTTTTTTGTAGACAAGGATTGTGTTGATGGCTGAAAAGATTTCGAAATATTGCAGTTGTCTGGACAATTTGTTAAAAAATAAGGCGCTTTTATTTCGGAAAATGTTGAGCAATAGTGCAATCTTATTGTTCTATATCTGTTTAATAGCAGATCCAATAGTTTAAGTATGGGAGAGTCATGTTTCGGCACGAATGGGCCGGCTCAACCGGATTGATACCACGGCCTCTCAGAAAACCGACCTGAAACAATGCTTGCGTTGTGTTTCATGGTGTGAGTGAGTTTATAGGAGGCACAATTACTCTCCTTCCCAATCTCCCAAATCCTTGAATCCTCAAAAATCTTCAAATTCCTAATACCCTAAAGGCGAATAACGCACTTGTAACGCTCTTGGTGTTTCGGGTGTCTATGGGCCACACTGATTGCTTACCATCAGGTGATCTGTCTGATCGTTTACCGGCTTATCCCATTAAAAACCTAAAACATAATAATTACGCCATGACTCGATGCGTAAATGTTTTATCTCAGACCTCACCGAGTCGTGAGACTGTTTTTAGGACCTCATGTTTGACAGTCTTGGGATTTTAAAACGATCACTACTAATCCAACAAAGCAGCCTTAATTATTCGCATACATTCTTTTACTTCATACAAAAGGGCATGATATCGAGATTTTCCTTTAAAAAGACCTTGTCACCCTTCCCGAACACATTCACAAATGTATTTGAATAGAAAGTGCAGCCAATAACAAGATGTCTCGCGTACCGTCGTTAGCCGGGCGTCGTTTGTCGTTCAATGGACTGGGTATTACGCCTCAATTGAGTAAACTGATACTTGCCTACCTTTGAGGCACTTGTGCAACTTATTGATAGAATTTTTGCTACAGGAATCGTGTCTTTTATTGTGTGAGCAGGTGGCCATGATCTTAGTGGTTCATGTAAGGATTTTGTATACATTGATTGTCATAGTTTTTAATAGCACCTTTGTTCTTCTTATGCCCGTTTTCACCTAGATAGGTGACTTTTAATGACATTTCCTCGACCTATAAGAGACATCTAACAGTACCTACAGTTAAGGGGTAAGTTAGGTGTTACGTCACGCTAAGTATCTTTTAGTTAAGATATGGTTTAGTCGTGGTTGATAAAAACTGTCAAAGGTATCCCGTTTCATCTATCAAGGTCATCTCTTCTTCTCTGAAAAAATTTAACATTAAATTTGGCGACAGTTTCCTTTGAGGTAAAAATAGAAATTATATAGTTTTTCACAATATCTAGTTACGAACAAGAACTAAAAACAAGAAACCTATTTACAGAAATGTAATAAATACTTAGGTACATAAGTACTTGCTTTTAAATTTTTTTCCAAAAATAATTTTCCAACGAAAGGAAAAGTTGAAGTGCCTTGTTAGTTTTGAAAGCAATTAGGAAACATTCCTTTCATTCCTAATTTATGAAGCGGCTCCCTAATTAAATGAGACATGCTGATGACCTTTCATAATTTCTGAATGAGGAGAGACGACTAAAACCAGGAGCTATTTTAAGACAAAAATAATGTAATTAACACATTTTATGTCGTATTTAGAAGGACGTTTAAAAGAGATTTAAGCAAAAAATATTCTGTCAGAGAAATAGATAGGTAAGAACCAGGGGTTAATTTTTTACGTTAAGCTCCATATATATTTCATTACCTATGTACCTACCAAGTATACCACATAAGTCATTGAAACGAAATCTTTTTAAATATGTGGCGCTAACTATATGTATGATGGCAATGACTAACTTTTGATTTTTTTTTTAAAACTTTGTCCCACTTTAGGATTTTCTCCTGTGTCGTGGGTGCGTTTACAAACATACAAGTTCACTTTCACAATGACACCCAGACCCGAAACAACAATTTGTATATCGCACAAAGTGTTGTTCCGTGCGGGAATCGAACTCGCGACACGTTACACGGCAGCCGATTGCCCAGCCATCGCACCAACCGTGCAGTCGCTTTTCGCTGTACATTCCGTATAATAGAAATTGTACTAGAAGTAGCAATCTTGCAGTCTGTCAGATGCAGAGCAACCGCCGAAGTGTGTACACGTGTCTCGTACGCGTCTCTCGTACGCCATCAACCTAAGGAAGCTCTCATGCAATATTATTAATATAATTCAGGTAATGACAACAAAAATTACATTTATCCAATGTATTATTTGGAAACAGATTTAATCTTCGCAAATTGACCTTCTTCACCAATAACCAAACAGTTAGACAGTCATAATATTTAGTCACAAAGTTCTAGTCTAGACAATAACTCGTAGTAATTCGTATAGTTCCCAACATCGTTACAATTAAGTGCTGTATCAAGTGGCTTTGCTTTGTAACGGAGCTATTAAGTCACAGAGATATTATCGTTATCGTTATTACTAGAGTTATTAGATTAATAGAGTTATTACTAGAGACAGATAACGGAGTTATTTTATTAGTCGTGTAATTATATCTAATGTTGTGTCAACTGCGGTTGGAAGTTAAGTTAAGAACTTATATTGGCTTCTAAGCCCGGCCGGGTAACGTGGTCAGATTTATTTTTCTTTCGTATCGAAAATGTATGTCAGCTTCAGATTGTTCGATTTTTCATTTACAGTTTTGTAAGTCCTTATTGTCAAATACAACTCACGATCGTTTTTAGATCGAATCTGAGAAACATTTTAAGTCCAATGTGACCAAACTCGACCTATAAAGCACTTTGAATAAACTGCGAAGGCAGTAATTGAAACTTTTTTAGTTTGTATAATAACTATCGTAAACAAATTAATTAAAACTATTATTAGATCTTTTCTCAAACAGTTCACGTGAGTGAACCGCATATATATTTTATCTTTCAAACTTCA